AGAGAGAGAGAGAGAGAGAGAGAGAGAGAGAGAGAGAGAGAGAGAGAGAGAGAGAGAGAGAGGTCTGTGTTACTAGTGACAGATCCTCAAGCCCTCGTAGGGTCGAGGCAGTAACTCACAATTATTTTTGTTGTATTTTATATTCTCTCTGCAGATTCTTAGGTTATGTCATGTTTTCACTGCAGATTTAACGTGTTGAGCAGCGTACGAGGAAGCGTATTGCCTATGGATACCTCAATTGTATGGAAAGAGAGGTTAGGAGAAGTAGATCAGTATCCTTCTCATCGAAGAGAAGCAATCAATCTTCCTCATTGGATAGAGGTATCCGATACACGCATGATGACTATGCGTTGTGGTGAGGGGAATACGTCCAGACTTCAAAAGCCTGCCTTGGCTTGCTCTCGTAGGACATAAATCTTGGGTTTTCTGAAAAAATGTGCAGCAACCACTTCGCAAAAACAAGTGATTTGAGTAAATAAAATTAAAAACTGATACCTTTCTCGATCTCTTGGCTAAAACATAGATCACGTGTAGAATCTGTTCTGATTTGGACTTTCGTATCTGATCAGTCTTCCCGTGGGCCACAACTGTGTTGAAAGTGATTGATCCACAACCCATGTGGCTAAACGGTACACGGCGACTACATGCATGTAATCCTTGAGAAGCAGACTTCACAACCGGTGTAATCCTTAATAAGACGACTGAGCAATCGGCGGTCGCGTTTTCGAACACACACAAACTGAGTGTTCGAAACTCGCTGGAGTTAGTTGGATCAACAAAATAATTCCGAATTTGCGTGTGTCGGTCACTTCCACGATGATACCTCTAGGCTGTCGCCCTTTCAGAAAGAAAAAGAAAAACAAACAAAGTGATTCGCCGACAACCCACGTGGCGAAATCATACACCTGCCGTGAATTCTGTTTATTAAGCAGACTTTGAGTTTGAATCCTCATGAGATCAGATCAGATTAGTAGTAGGCTTCCTCCAAATGACCGACGATCATAGCTCAAGGCCATAAAAAAAGCAAAAAAACAAACAAAAACGATCTGATCTCATGAGGATCCTATCCTCATGGGTCGGTCAGTTCCACGATGATAGCTGAAGGCCATAAAAAAAGCAAACAAACAAACAAAACTGATCCATGGAGTGCCGTCTTAAGGCGTCTTTCAAACTTCTCTACAGATCACTTATGTCACATTCATTTGTCTCCAATTTCATGGACATAACTTCGATGCAAAGAGTGCAATGGATTAGCATTCAAACTAAATATCAATCCCATCAGACCATTTTGAATGGCTGCGCATGTGCTACAACAGCAATAACACTGGGAAGCAAGGATTTAAGGAAGAGTGAATCCTGAAACTTGTCACTTCAGTTCCTTCAGTTCAGATTGTTCTCTGCGACTCGAGAATAGGAGGTTGGAATTACTACCGCTAGTAATCACAGATCAGCATGCCGTGGTGAAAATGTACTGAGGCCTTGCACACATCGTCTGTCACACTATGGGAATTTCTTTTGTCCCAAATCGTCTCAGCTACAAACACTTGATACCACCCTTCTCGACGCCCTGTCAGCCTTTCCATCATTGGTGTCTGGAAACGGGGGGCGGGGGGCAGGCAGGACGGTACCTTCAAAACGGGCCCTTGGGGTTAACCACCATTTTCTGGGATCAACTGGTGCTTGAATAACAGGATCGGGAAAACAACAAGGTCGGGACAGTATATGGCTACATTACTCGTCATTTTTTGAGTTTCAAGTTCTTTTTTTGTTTTTTTCAGCGTTTTTCTTGAGAATATGATCATAAATTTACCACGTAATGTAAAGCAGCAGCCGGAGCAAGGAGCAATCAAGGGGTTACCAGGGGTGTGTAGAGGAGAGAGCGAGCGAGAGAGAGAGAGAGAGAGAGAGAGAGAGAGAGAG